GGGGGGGGGGGGGTTGACGAAGCTAATTGCAGAAGACCCATGCCACATGGCCTGTCTCAGAAATAACGAAACACCTGACGTGCCCAGCTTCGAAGCACGCTTTCACTGCGGTGGCAGCGGAGAGGCTGACGACCTGCTGGTGCAGTCGCTCGAGTTTGCTTCGACTTCAGAGACCCACATGGTCCTAACATGGTGCACACACAACTGATGGTCGCATGCTGTCAAGCTGGTTGGACCACATTTGTTCCAGACCGCTTGGACGAATCGCTAGGCTTTCAAGCGTCCGTCGTGGGACAACAAGAGTGCAGTTCTCGCGTTTCGATATGGCGGGACGTGCATAGCAGGAAGCAGACACCGTAACAAGGGCTCTCAGAAATTTTCTGTTCAAGCCTCGAAATCCTCTGCCACTCGGAGCAGCTCCTGGGACCAAGTCCGTTTTCAAAGTCTCATTTAGGCAAGCTTTGAAGCCGCTATGTCTTGAAAGTCCGTGTCCAAGCAACTTCGCAGAGAAGAGCTCACCAAGATTCAAGCCTTCCTTGTAAGGGGCCTCATCTCTGTCTTCATCCGTGTTTCTTCGACAAGCAGGGGTCGCAATTCTACTGTCTACCTTGAAACGATGTACCACCCAGAACCAACCGAAAAACAAAACACACATGCACGTCTGCATAGCCATCGACGTCCTCGCACTGCTTCGGCTCGTCGATTTTCTGTGCCTCTGCCTTGCGACAATCTCAAGGTGAATCGACAACTTGTTGTGCGCAGACCCCCAAGCTCCTGATCCGCTAACCTGTCGGCGCCTGTCGGAGCCAAATTTCGGAAAAACGTGCGGTTTTGATTTATTGCACTTCTGTGAAGATTATGACTATGATTTGTAAGAACTGCAACCCATCTCAAGACCAGTCTCTGGCATCTTGACTGACTTCGAAACTTGTCAGCAGTACAAGCATCGAAAAAACTCATGTGTTAGATGCAAGCAGCCACCCGCAAGAGACGTGGCTACTGGGCTGCTCCCGTGTATGCGACCCCAACCAACCTCCACCCCCACCAGGAAAAGGTCGTTCGTTGATTCGCCGTTCAGTCATTCGTCTATCCATTCATTCGCTGACTCACTCAGTCATGAACACGTGCTTGGAAGGGAGATGACGGGCTGATAGACAAAACATTGGGCAGATAAAGCCCCAAAAATGTTGAGTCCATAGGATATGGCCGTCCATGGTCTTTCGCACTGTCTCAGAACACTTGGTTGCCCTAGCTTGCATTGACGGTTACTTAATTTCTTCCCGCGTTGCTGAAGGCTGCCTCTAAGTGTCGCCCGAGTGAAAGGCTCGCAGGCACGCGCGCCCAGAAAATAGCAACAGCAGCAGAGAAGGCCTTGTTTGAGCTGTGAAACCCCAATCAGATGAGTGCTTTACGAGGAACAAAACCTCCTCATCTTTCTAAACTTGTGAACTGCCAACACGGGTGCCCACATTTTCTCCAAGAGAGGCCATCACAACAGATCTGCCACCCGCCGCAAGGTCTCATCTGTCAATTCCGCAGGGTGACTTATGCTGCTGGCCAAGAGCAAAGGAACTGTCATCCCGCAGAGATGGTGAGAACTCTCCCGGAAAGCACATTGGCGACTGGTCTTGCTAGCTTGCACCCACAGCCTCATATGAGACTCGAGGTATTGGAAGGTTGGTTCGGGCTCAGCAGAAACCCGATATCGGGCCTCGGCCATCTGGACCTCCAGCTCGGCCACCTGCCGCTTCGGGGCGAGGCAAGGCACTCCGGCAAGATCCTCCCTCCCAGACGAGCCCTGAAACGACTACAGGCTGTAGCAGCAACTAGCAAACATCTTCGGTAGCCCTGGCATGACCTGGCCATCAACACGTTCTGAGTCCAAACGTTTCAGACTGCGGTGCCACCTCGATGAGCTTCCGCAGTTCGTCCTGGAGACTCTGCGCCGCGTGGTCGGCCTCCTCCCTTGGACTTTGGAGTCTCGGAATGAAAGCAACTCACAGCAGACGGGCAGAGAACTTGAACAACTCGCCACTGCGAAGTCAACCTCGTGAGCTCCGGGCTTCAGTCGCTTGCGCTCCTCCTCCTGCTGCCGCCTCCCAGCACCACATGAAAGCCCGCTTGATGGGCTGACGATTCGAACTCTTCTTGTAGATGACAGTATTTTGAAGGGTCCTGGACTTGGCTGCAGAGCCTCAGTGTCCTAATGCTCTCAGAACCTGGCAGAGCCTGTCTGGTACCCATCAGAGTTTGTGATTTTCACATAGATTTAAATAACCCATGACCCATGCGAGTCTACACTCTGCGGAATTCAAGGGGGCAACATTCATCCGCTGCGCCGTCGGTTGGGCGTTGGGATATTCCTTCCTTCTCATGAGCAGTTAGGTTGCATTGGATCAGGAAGGGGGCTTGCTTACACGGCTGAGTGCAGGTAAGCACACATGAATCGGAAATGAGCAGGCCGCTACTCCGCTACTCTGAGATTCGAGAGCTGACATCCAGGATGACGAGCTCCTAGCCGAGCACGTAACGAAGTCGTGAGTAAAAGTAAACGACCATGTGGATGCGTGCTGCCGCGAGCCCTTTGGTACCTGTGACACCGCATAGTCTTGTATACGCGGTCGCGGCCCATATTCGAGCGTATTTGCCGAACGGAGCGTTCACGGGCGTATTTGCTCGAGTTGGGTCGCACACTTTAGCGCTCAGGGTAAATCATCGATCATCTACAGCATCACAATTGGAGAGTATGCATTTGTCAAGCAAATTGATATTCCGCAGACAAAGATGGATCCAATCTACACAATAAGCTTCTGACAGTACTGCATAGGATCGTCGAGGGTTGAAAAGGCACTGACTCAGTGCTGTCGTGTGCTGGGGCGAGCTCTCATGGCAATGGGGGGCCATGTCGCTTTTTGTTTGAACAAGTTCAGGCGG